CTCTTGGCCTCTCCGTGAGATAGGCGTGGGTGGGTGCTATTTCCCCATCTCCTCGTAAACAGGAACACTAGGAAAACCTGCGCCTTTGATTGGAGCAAGCTCCATCAGTCAACAAATATTTATTAAGTATCTGACAGTATTTCCTGGCATCCCTCTTTTTAAAGGAATGTGTAGGGATGTCCCTTCATTTGGGGAATGTGGCAGGAAACTCAATGAATTAAGGGGAAATTAAGGTTCTATTGCTTATCTAAGATCACTGTGTGAGATAGGGACATGGACTTTTGCTACTAAGCACAGTTTATCACCATGACTCATTCCTGCCCTTCAAGGCAGCTCTCCACAGGTTGTTAATGACCCACTGTGAGGTCGGATTCGGGTAAGGTGAGACCTCCATTAACCAGGAAAGGTGGTTAAATCAAGTTTTCTTATTAACTGAAGTTTCAATTTAAAAAAAATCCAGGAATAATATAATAATGCAAACAGTTTTAGAACAGGCGGTAGGAGACCTCTTTGTGTAAGCCTTGTTTCTGCCGTCCAGCGGCACCATGATGGGTGACATATCACTTAGACTCCTTTGGCCTCAACTTTTCTCATGTGTAAAACGAGGGGGTAGTTCTAATTGATCTTTATGGCTCCTTTGAGCACTCTTTTGAGGTTTTATGCTTTCTTTCTGACGGGCAGGAGCATCATCGTCCTAACATTAATTTGTATTCAAGCCGGCAGCAATAAATTGAGAAAGTGAGAGAAAATGGGCCCCAGTGTGCTCTGGAAATAAGCAAAAACTTTGTGTTACTTTTTGAAGAAAATAATTTGGTATTGGCTTGTTTTAATATATTTTCAATGTTTAATATATTTTAGGACATGTGGTGTAGGTTCATTTTGATTTACGTGCAAACAAATGTATATTTCATATACCTGCAAGTCTAGTTATCTCCAAGTGGTAAGACAGCAGGTGATTTTAATTTTGCTCTTCATTGTTTGTCACAACTATGTAATGAACATACATTACCTATGTAATAAGAAAATTAGTTAATAAAAAATGAACATTGTGGAAATAGAACCAAAGAGGTTAAAAGCTGAAAAAATTCCTAGGACTAGTCCAAGCCACTCATTTTTGGATTGGAAAACTGAGGACCAGAGAGATACATGACTTGCTCTAACTCTGAACCTGTTAGAAGCAGTCTTGGGACGACTGATCAAGCTTCTACTTTCTATGGCATACTTCATTGTATTTTTCCATTTGCTTCTTAAAAAAAATAATTGGACATTCTTACTATTCAGATTCTGTTTAATCATGATTTGGTAAGCCCCGTGGAGGTGATCTGTTAGAATGCAGCCTTTACTGTGGCCCAAATTCATGTGTCGTGCTCTATGCCGAGAGTGGTCCTTATCTTGGTGTTGTGTGTCTCTGCTCTACTGTGCACGTTGCGGGAGTGTTTCGCAGAAAATGCCCTCATGATCATCATAGAGATCATTAAGAACATGTTCAGGAGACTAAAGAGGGCAGAGGAACAAGGCAGAAATGAGCCACAGAGGACAAAAGCCAAGGAGGAGAAGAGAGCAACTCCCTGAGCTTGCTACCGCAATGATGTCTGCATGCAGGATGATGATGCTCATTCACAGTTAGCAGAGCCTGTGTGCAGACACTCACCGCTCTCTTGATATGGGCCTCATTAATTGTCCCCCCTTCATTCCAGTGATTTCAGAAAAAAAGAGGGGGCACTTATTTTTGTCAGTTTGGAATTAACTGATTTGTAGAAATGATCTAACTGCATTATTACCCCAAATGAGAAGTTCTTCGGGGTAATGAATGACAAGAAATGTTCTACAGAATGAAGAATGTTTGCAAGTGGGTATGAAGGGGACTATCTTTATATGGAAACCAAGTTAGGTGAATACTTTTGACTTAAATTGTGAACAAGTTTCCTCAAAAACAATCCTTTTTTTCCCCTAATCTTCATATGTAATTTCTACTAATAAATATTTCTTATGCTTTACATCTGTGTGGAAAAATTGCCTCCTACACAAGCACCAACTTCCAGCCACGTCCAAACGTCTCACCACCAATGTTATCATTATACTCAGGATTCCAGCTGCCTTTGGTTATGAGGATTTCATGCAAATCTGAACCAAAGAGAGCAAAATATAAAAAGCTGCCATTTTTTCCTTCCCATTTCCCCAAGTTAAATGACAGTTTATTCTGCAAGCTTTCAAATCACTCCCACAAAATTGGCAATCCAATACAATTGGCACATTCATGCTAATCCACCCAGAAGTAAATACACTGTGGTAAAATTGTGACATTTGCAAGGACCATGGCTCCCCAATTATTGAAGAATTAACTAGGGGTATAATGAGGGAGGGCCAAGTGTGATTCAGCGTGGAGAGAAGCAGCCTTGCCATTCTATGTCTAATCCTCAAGTGGAAACTTTCTATACGTTTGAGAACTTGAAAGAGAAGTGTGGATAACTTCGACATTCACTTTAAATAAAAATGTTGCAACACGTTTTCTTGGTTTCAACCTAAGGACTGCCACAGTGTGTCTAAGGTACTGGCTTTGGATTCTTTTGGATGTACCTACTACTAGAATATACTCAAACCCTTGCAGGAATGTTTGTCATGAAAGCATGGTCCCTGGGGGTCCAACACTTGTTGGATGTCCATTGAAAGAAAAGGGAATTTGTTGGCTTATCTTTTATTGGGTCTCGGAATGGAAGTAGGCAACCTGGGATTTGAGCCCCAGATTTACCCTGTGACTAATAAGGGCACTAGGAAGAACCATTTATTCAACGCTGTACAAATTACTGGAGTTTTTATATGCAATTTTGCCTTACATTGACCTTGTGAGGCAACAGAGGCACTGGTTAGTCATTCCTGTTTTGTAGGTGAGGAAGCCGAGGATCAGAAAGGTGGTTAGTTAATGGGTTTGTTATCTCCCAGCAGCTCCTTCCCTCACTTAGCAGACGAGCCCAGGCGGGAGTCCAGAGAAGGCAGCTGCCTCACCTGCATCACACAGCAAGTCTGATGCTGGACAGGGCCTAATTTGTCTGGAATTTCCAGCCCATTGCTTAGGTCACTGGACCATGTTGTCGGCAAGCATCCAGCCTGGTTTGGGAGGTGGGCCACCTCACATTTTATCCCCTAGGCCAGGAAACTGTTCCTGAGCTCCAACTGGTGCAGAGTGAGCATAACAGGCATAGACAGGTAGTTGGGAGAGGAAATACAATGCTAATGATGTTCTTTGCATTTATAAGAGCATCTCCCGTCCCTATAAATGGACAGCTTGGATAGACGACTCTGGAGTCATAATAAATAAAGACTTGCCACCACTTTAATCTCTGATCCCAGGCCACCCACAGCTTTCAGGAAAATGCCTGACTGAGCAGACAGCTTCACAGACTCTAGCCAGTGTCCGATCAGGAGGGGAAGAACGTTCTGGAGGCGTGGGCCCTCCGGGAGAAGGCTAGTCTGCTCCTAGACAGCTCCTAGAGGGCACACAGGCAGCTTTGCCTAGAGAGCATCAGACAGCCCAACGCCAGGGTGGCGAGTCAAGGGAAACATTTTTTTTCCACTGGACACTTGAGTATAATGAAGTAAATTTTATTGAGCACATACTATGTGCGGGACTAAATTCAAATATCTAAGGAGGGTTAATAATCAATGGGGCAAAACTTGACGTGCTGAACCATCTGGCTTCTCCCAAGATTTGAGCTTCATCAAAAAAATTAAATCAAAATGGGAAAAGAAATTTAGTTTTTGAAGGTAGGGAGAGAAGAGAGTAAAAGAACTGTAGTAAATTGTTATTGTTGTTATACTTGTTAAAAGCACCATTTATAAATTTGAACTCACTTGGTTTAGGAACAAAAGGTGCATTTTGTGCAATTTAATTTGTTTAGAAAATGATCATTCTTTGTGTGCTCTGGGATATGAAATCCAAAAGTGAAAATTTCAGAGAGAGATGGGACAAAGAGCTTCTCCCAGAACAGTCTTCAGAAATAGGTATCTTTTTTGGATTTTTTTCTTTTTTTGCTCTCTTACTCTAAGAACTTAAATTATAAATATATATTCTTTTTTATAGTTACTAAATGAATGTAACGAAGATTGTCGTGAGTAAATGTTAGCAAAAACAGACAGAAAAACGCCAACAAAATCACGCATACACACACAAAACAAAGAAATTGAGAATCCCACTCATCCATCAAATTAAAGCTATCCTGTGTTATTCTCTTATTTTCCTGCATTTCATATGCATTTGAGTTGTCCTCTACATAAGTATTGATTATCTAATGATTTAGTAATTTCTAAGTAATTTCTAAGAAATTACTAAGTAATTTCCCCCAATAAATTAGTTCTTATTTGACCTTAAGTCCCTATTGCCGTTAGTTGCCTTCAGGGGGACCTCTGTGTCCTCTGTTGATTTTAAACCTCCCATCTCCCCAGCAGGGAGGAGCTCAGCAGGGGGAGCCTTATGCTTTTCTAATTTCCACCTGTGAGACATAGGCCTGAAGTTTCCCTCAGTTCCCCTCTGGAGCTGTGGGAGGGCGCAGGAGGAGGAGCCAAGAGGATTTGGAAATCCACACTAGGATCAGAGTTTAAACGTCTTGTTTCTGCTGCTCATTAATGAATGATGTATGATATTTGGTAGACATGGAAAATAGGGGATTTTTTAAAAAATGAAAGAAAAGATAATACAAAAGATAAAGCGAACCAAAGCTGTTATATTTTACTGAGTTAAAGACTTTGACTCATGCATATGTGTATTTTACTCCTCTTCATGTCTGCTCCCTTTTCAATGAATACTGAGTAAACATTTACTAGTATGTGCCAGGCCCAAGGCTTTATACCCGGGATTTGGAAATGAATGACACAATCATTGCAGTATCTGGGCCAGCCGTTTCTCACTCATTGCTTCTTTTTTTTTTCTTCCAACAATGCTCTAGGGTACATCTCTTTACCCCCATTTCACAGATGAAGGAACAGTCTTGCAAAGTGTAAGCAACTTGCCCAAGGTCACACAGTGAGTGAATGGATAACTTGGAATGGCCTGATGACCCCAAAGTCCCTGCTCTGTCACCCTGGCCGTGGCTGGTACAGCCTCCCAAACATCTGATGCAAGACTGTAAGATTTCAGAAGAGCTCCAGAGAAGGGCGGTGGAGTGCAAGAAGGATGAGAACATCCGAATAGGAGTGGAGGGGTAGAACGGGCCTGTTGTAGAGGCAGACAAAGGCCGAGGTAAACATGGTGAGTGGTGTGTGTGTGTGTGTGTGTGTGTGTGTGGTGGGGGCAGTGGGGGGGAAGGGAGGAGGGTGAGCTGAGGGAGGTGGGGATGGTGGGGGAGGCTGGCTAAGCAGGCGGTGCAGGCCAGCTTGGATAGGGGCTTGAAAACCAGACCATAGAGTTTGAATCTGAAGGTAAGTTTTGAATCTGAGTTTAAACTCTCTAGCTATTGGAGGATGGCAGAGATTGGGTTTTGGTGGGAACAATCAGTCCCCAGTGCAGCCATACCACAAGTAGAGAGAAAAGAGATTGTTCCCTATTTCAAGGTCCATCTATAGTCACTCATCCTTAGATTCTTCTGCAGTTTCAAGGTGATTGTTTTACTCAGGTCTTAATGTGACTTACGCATGCCTAAGAAATCCCCTTGGGAAGGATTTCAAAGGTCTCACAAAAAGGACCTCCTGTTCATTGAGTCTAGAAAAAGGAACCAGACAAGAAAGTCACTTATTTGCTGAGGACATACAATGTGCAAAACATTGTTCTAGGCATGGTGGGGAATAAAACATAATGCAGGAAAAATGTACCTAGCAAAACAGGGAAATCTTGAGACATGATGTCATAGTTATGCTGTGAAATACTTTCTGTTGATATGAATTAATATGGATGGTGTCCATGAGACCAGGCAGAATTGCGAGTATCAGAATCCCCTGGATAGAAGGGGCCCTGGAGTGGGCACACCTGTGTAAACTGGGGCCTATGGAAAGATGTGCATGAAACTTTTTGGTGAATTTGAAGTTCTGTTTTACAGAAAAGAAGTGGTAAAGGTGAAGAGGATCATGAGGAAGACCACGGGATTGATGTTGTCTGGGAAACGATGGGTCTGACCACTTACTGCCTCTTTCATTTGAACATGAAAGGCCTGGAACTTGATGGTACCCGAAAGACATTAAGCCAGTTGCAAACCAATATCTCATTTACCATAGATCTTTTCTTCATGTTAATAAACTTTGGCTAGTAGGATTCCTTGGCGCAGGGAGTATATATCCTGAAAAGAAATATTGAAAAATTAGAGAAACATTCTTACTGCTAATGACTTGGTCAACTGAGAGTGGGTAATAGGCCTCATTTCTGTTTGTTATTAGGCATAACATGTTTTATTCCTTAGTGTAGAAAATATGAGCTTTTGATATCACTGCTTTAGTATAATTTACTCTCTGAGCCCTGTCTAAACTTAGTGATTCATCATTTTTCAAATTAGTAGGGACACGGGTAGAGTAATCTGAGGCTGTAATCAGTAAAACCTTCCAAATGCCTTCCACAATAATGGATTGGGCTGTCATTTGTTGTATCTCTTATTTCTGTTATTGTGTGAGCTTAGGATGTCAATTTCAGCTCATTAGTTTAATTTTTAAGATGTTTCTCCTTGCTTCTGACAGCAATAGGAAGCATGTCCACTGGATGCATGCTGCCTTATTTGTTGAATTTGGCAGCAGTGAGCGCCCCCCCCTCCCCAAGTAAAAGACAAGATACTCAAGTGTCAAGCGCTTACGGGGTCATCCATCTTCTTCGGCCTTCCACCCACTGGGCTGGACCACATGCACCCACTGTTGGAGCCCCTTCTCTGCTCTCTTTTTGTCATTATGCTGTTGTCAATTCCACCGTTTATTCAGTGATTAATCATCATTTGGAAGGTTCTGCTGGGAGCTAACAGAAAGGGGAGTATTCCTGCAGGTGGTTTCTCTCTGATGAGTCAAAAGTGATAATGACTTGCTGCTGGGGCTTTGTCATGAGGAGGGGAAGAGGGTGCCTTTTTTTTTCTTTTGCGGAAATGCATTGGAATTTTATAAACCTGGGAAATAAACTTTAATTGTACAAACATCGGAATACGTCTTTTTTAAAGTGTTCTACAAGAGACGCCGTTTTCAGTTAAATCGCATTTAGGATCACAACTCTGTTATGCTCTTATTCTGATTTTTTTTAAACCTTAGGGCATCAAGGTGCATGTTTATCAACTTAAGTGCCTAAAAATAACTCCAAGGGAGATGAGATATCTGGTGGCTTACCAGCAATCACTTCTCACTGAAGTACTGTATTTAATATTTTTACCTTTGCAGCCACAAAGATGGATAATGTTGGTATTTAACTTGGTGCAGTATGGCTCTTTTATATTATTTAGGAATAGAATTTCTGACAATGAAGGGTTCAGTTTTACGGTTTAATGATGACTACTACTTCCATTAAAAAAAAATAAAAAGCATTTAGAAGGATGGACACGCTGGAAGGCTTTCCAAGGAAGCTCAGGCTCTGTCAGAGTGGGGGTGCCTGGTTTGTGGTGGCGAGGTGTGGCCAGGGCAGGAAGTAAGAGCGTCTCTGGGTGGTGAAGGGAAGCAGGAGAACAGGGAGGGTGGGGAGGAGCAAGGGAATGCAGTTCAGCCCACTTCCAGCCGGACCAGTCTCTCCACCAATTCTTACACATGTGATTTCTAAGTGAGTAGGCAGAGTTTCCAGAATGAGGAAAGTAGGACCTTCTGTGGACAGTGAGAAAGAGTATGAGTGTGCATGAACTTTTTTTCACTTCTCATGAATGTGAGAAGAAGGATGAGTGGGCTCAGAGAGATTTACTTATTTTGGTCTTATTCCCATGGGCAAATTCAGAGATCCCGGATACTGCTCTATGGATTTATTCATTATTTTCATCTGCTCCTAATGTGGAGTTTCTCTCAACTGACATGTGTGGATGAAAGAGACTAAACATGTCAAGATTCCAGAACCAAATATTCGTGTCTGGTATTTACTTTGACTAGCAAATTATCTCCTCCTCCCCAGGCTCCCTCTTCTTTGCTGGTGATTCAGGTTTTTCCTTGGATCTTTGCTCTCTTTGGTCTGAGGCTGAGCATGGTATTTGGAGCCCAGGCGTGATCCCTGAAGGCTGGCTGTGTGGGTGGAGGAAGCCCTGGTCACTTGAAGCACGCTATTGGTGGGCATGGCTGGCGCATGCGTGAGAAGCGGGGAAGGGGTCCCTCCCCCAGGACAGCTGCCTCTTGGGCAGGGAGCTTGGACCAGTCCTGGGGCGATTTGCAATTCACCAGTTACTCTTTTAACAGGCCAGTTCCCTGGGGACTGGGAGCAGCTGTTGCCTGACAGGGAGATGGGCAAGAGTGACAGCTGAGCTTCCAGCCTGGGAGGTGGATGGGAATCCTGTGGTGGAGGAAGGGCTCTTGCAGAAGGTGGCCCAAGAGTAAGGGATCCACATGGATGTGTGAGGGCCAGTGGTGGATGTAGGGAGCAGCCCAAAGTCCTCTCCTGGGCAGAATCAGCAAAGTGTGGAATACAAGCCTCAGTGTCCCCTCCCGACCTTCCAGCTGTCTGCTTGCCACCCCCAAATCTAAGCCTGCTCTTGGAGCCTTTTTCTACCTCCAGGTGTAAGAGGTGATGACAGCTGGAGTGTAAGCTCTTCCAGGTGGAGATTGCTTTTGAATGGACATCATGACCTGCAGAAGTGGCTCCCAAGGGCCAAGAGAGTTAGCATTACTTGGAAATTTGTTAGAAAGGCAAATTTCTAAAAAAAAAAAAAAAAGAAAAAAAAGAAAAAAGAAAAGAAAAGAAGAGAAGAGAAAAAAAAAGAAAAAGAAAGTGAAAACAAAAATAAAAGAGGCAAATTCCTGGACCCTACCACACACCTACTGAGGTAGGAGCTCTGGGAGTCGGGACTCAGCAATCCAGTTTACCAAGCCCTCCAGGTGATTCTGATGGATGCGAAGGTTTGAGAATCACTGACCTACAGTGATCGTGCTCTCACTCAGTGGTATTCGGGGCATTTACCAGTGAATTGAGGCAAAAGAACACTAAGGACAACAGGGCCTCATGAGCCTCTCTTCTCTCTCCTCTCAGGACACAACCTATGCTACTTGTAACTAAAGCCCTCCTACCCATGGGTCCTAAGCTGCTGAATTCAACAAAGTAAAAATAGCCTTTGGAATTTAATTAGCCTGAGTATTTCCACTGTGGACAGATACACTGTTGAAACGTTTGAGCAGATATGGCTTCCCCTTCTTGTTCCTAGTGCTCAAGTTTGGCTCTCGAATTCTCCTCCTGGAACAGAGCCATTGCCCTTCAGTGAGTGGTTGTCCAATGCCTGGCTGAGGGAGAAAGGGCATCTACAAGCAAATGGTGCTAATAAAGAATGTTAGGGTATAGGAGATTCCCCAGTGGTGAGCAAACTCTGTCTCCAAAGCAGCCCCCTGCTTTAGAAATGGCACCAAAGAACATTTGATGGCAGAGAATGGGACCTTCAGAAAGTTAGGATTGTGTCCAAAGTAGTGGTCAGTACAGAGCAGTAGGTCCTTGGTAGATTCTTACTGAATTGAAAACCTCCTTAACTTCATCTCAAGAGCCTGTTTGTAACTCTTCATTCATGTGTGTATCTCAACCTCCTTGAACCTGATTTTAATTTTGGTTTATATAGGCTCTTGCAGTAACAAGTCCCAGATGAGGTAATGAATTTACTACCCACAGTGTAAAGGAATGTGTCCCTTTATTTATCCTAAAACGACCTCTTCCAAGTTTCAAGGGTGCTTATCTGAAATCTTAACTCTTAGATTTGGGTGTTGATCGCTTCCGACTTGGTCTGAGATATTCTCTTTGTGATTGAGCAAAGATGAGTCAGTAGCACTGATCAGCACTGCCACACCACGCCAGGCTAGAAACTCTTCAAGGAGAGGAATGCCATCTGACTCCATCCCAGGCTTACCTCTGCTAGAGTTGGTGGTCATCTCTATGTGCTTTAGGAACTCACCAAGACCCCACCACGTTCCTCCTGAATCAGTGCTTAAAATTCTACCTGGAAACCCACTGCTTTGGGTAAAACATTTCCTTTACAAGTATTTTCTATTACTGGATTTGACTTTCATAAAGGCAGAGAGCATGGCTCTATCATTTTTTGTTAGCCATTCCGCCTGTCATAGAGCCTGAAATAATAGACTTGCCGTAACTCTTCACTTTTGTATGGACACATATTCTTAGAGAGGGAAAACAAGTTATTCATTTACTCCTTAGTATGAATGGGAGGTGAGGGTGGAGGCAATGATTGAGGCACGTTCCTTGCCTTCATGGAAGCTAAGTCTGGTAGGAGAACGTACTTGTAAAGGAATTGCTTTGCCCAGAGAAATGATTTTTCAATGGTAAAGGTTTAGGCATTTTTGACCCGGCCAACTGGGCCAGCCAGCCAGGAGTCATGTTCCTCCCTCACTCCTCCACATGGTATCTAGAAGGGATCTCAACTTAGAGAAAAAGTTTTGTCCATTCTCTGAAAACCGGGAAGATGAGGGCAGCTGAGTGTTCTGGTTGGGTGGGGGTGGGGGGTGGGGGGAGAAAAAGATATGCTGACATAACAGCTCACATTTACTCAGCATTTACTATGTGCCAGGAATTCTTCAGTGCACTTAATAGTTATCAACGCACTGGATTCTCATAATAACCCTAGGAAGTAAGCACTCCTTTTTTTTTTTTTTTTTAAAGATTTTATTTATTTATTTGACAGAGAGAGACATGGTGAGAGAGGGAACACAAGCAGGGGGAGTGGGAGAGGGAGAAGCAGGCTTCCCGCAGAGCAGGGAGCCCGATGCGGGGCTCGATCCCAGGACCCTGGGATCATGACCTGAGCCGAAGGCAGACACTTAAGGACTGAGCCACCCAGGCGTCCCAGAAGTAGGCACTCTTAGTACCCCTATTCAGGGAAGGGAAAATCAAGGCTCAGAGAAGTGAAGTAATTTGCGAAAGGAGACCCAAGAGCAGGAATTCAAATCTAGGCAGTTTGATTTCGAAGCCTGAGTTGGAAACAGTAAGCTGTGCTGCCTCCCTGCAGAGGAAAAGGGACACAGAAAGGCAACATCAGGGCGGAGGACCAACTACTTCTACTCCACCATTTTGCCGAGGATGTGCCCACTATGGCAGGTGGCAGCGTTCCAGGGAACAAAGATGGGATAGTGCCAGAATCCTGGGAGCAAACACATGAAGCAGATGTAGGACCTCTCACAGACACAACCCTGCTTTGCCAGGTAAGGGAGGGTAAGGGTTATTTAGAGGCAGATCAGAAGCCCCCTAATAATTTGATCAGTTCTCTGTGAAAAGCACTTAGTTGCTATGGTAATGAGTACTCTATAAATATTAATAGAATAAGGCCAAACAGAATATTACCCCATTAACGCAGAGGCTCATGGAATTAGCCTTGAACATCATGGTCTAATGATGGACCATTCAGTCATTTGGTTTTAAATCCCACTGAACACATGCACTAGCTCTGGGTCTCATAGTGATTAGTAACAAAGGTCTGGAGTAAATGCTGTCGTCTTGCTTTGGAAGGGCAGCCCACCTCTCCTCGAGTGCTCTGTACATCCTAGATGTGCACCGTTTCGATGTGTTTAGGGGCATTTAGTAGAGACAACTGTGATTCTGATTACTTGTATTGGGTCACACCTCATGGGATTTTAGCACTGAAGGACTACAGATAGATTCACCCAGTTTCGAGCAGAAAACGACCTTAGGGATCGGTTAGACTAGACGTCTTGAACTCAAATGCTACAGGGTTGGGAGGCAAGTAAGGTAAAGGAGAGGGCAGGCTGTGCATAAGACAGGCGCTGCAACGTGCCTGCCGCTTGAACTCTTGTTTTAGATGCAAGGTGTTTGTTTACTCATTTTCCCTCCGTCTCTGGATTGAAGGTGATACAAAGGAATGGAATTAAGAAAATAAGGAATAGAATGAGGGGGAAATAATGATAAGTAAAATAAAACTAAGGGATAAAGTTAACGAACCTAATGATTTCAAATTCTATACAGTTCTGCACAAATCTCTGAGCTTCCTAACAGCCAGT